CATAAAACAAACACTAAAACTTGAAATCCTATGAAACTTTCAGCATGCGTAGAGGAGCTCAACTTACATAGCCTGTGAATATTTTAAGCCTTATCCTATTTCATTTCGTTGAGGTATTACAAAGACACGAGGAAAAAACGTGATTCCGTCACGCTTGGACAAGCCGTAAAAAGCACACATGTTGACACGTTCAAAATGCGTTAAATTTTTGAAAGAAGTTAAATGCGTTAATACATTTTAACAAAAATAAAATCGTAACGATGCACACTCTTTACGATTTTTTTTTCATCAAAATTCCGACACGTTTTTAGGCGTTATTTTTCGATGTTTATCTAACTAAGCTTACTCTATTTTCAAGTTCGACCATCTGCTAATATTCACACACTATGCTCTTTCACTTTCGTATAACTCGCATTTATAAAACTATTTTCTTTTATCTTTCATTTCTCTATTCTTTCAAACATGCGTTTCATCATTGTTGCCGCTACCTGTATCGTCGCACTTGTTTTAAGTTTAACAACAGCATTCCCTACTCATGATAGGGTACGACGTGGACTGGTTCCTGATTTAAGTGGTTTAAATGGTATATTTGAGGGTAACTTCTCACCTCTTTGTCTATTTCCACCTTGTAATGGACCATCATTTTTATTCCCAGGGATTGATTGGGAAGCTTTACATGCAAACATCGCTCAATGGATTAAGGAACAGGAACAACTGTCATTGCAAGGAGATGAATGAATAGCAATACCACTAATTTTTACGAAAACAAAATTTGGTTCACTTGTCTTTTAGTTTTTATTAAAGTTAATAAAAAACAAAAGAGAGAAAAGAATGTTCTTCTGTATCGCAGAAATAAAGCTGGTTTTGGGTGTGAGTATGGGTGGGTGTGAGATATGAGTGTGGATGTGAATCTTGTTTTCATTGATATTCGTACCCAAATTCATCAATATTTGCTAAGTCAGTTAAACTTCCACGATAATAATTTCGACATATTGTAACTATAGTTTTTTTAGCTTCAACTGTTTTAGGCATGTGCTTTAATACATTTTTCAATAATTGAAAAAATAAAAATGAACTAGCTTCTTTTGAAAGATTTCATGCTGCTTTTTCTTTTTTATTATAAATACTCAATGGAGCTGTATATTTATCAAGTTCTTCACGAGATTTTCTTATACTATTTGTAAGTGTTTTTCATTTTTACATAAATAAATAAGACAAACCAGTTGTTCTTTGCTAATATCGTCAATTATACCAGATGATAAAGAATAAAAAAAAAAATACTGAATCAATGTGTTTTAATAGTTCAATAGTTTCAATAAAACTCGTCGATGGTGAACCATCACTAATAAGAAAAATCTTATGAGTTATTGGTGTCACATAATCAATGCATTCTTTTTCCACGATAAATATCTGTAACTATTATTGAGTTAGATGCTTCACAAAAAACTTTATATACAAATTAACTAATCTCAATAAATCAAATCGAAAACTACATGATCAATTTTAAGATTTATGTATGAATAAAGTTTGCTATATCGAAGATCTGATTAGTTCATTTTAGATTATGTAGACATAAACGATGGAGGTATGAGGCTTGGGTAGTATCAAACATGTATTTCTTGTTCCAACAGATTAATAGATTTATCCAATATACCGACATTTTAGTACAAATGTCAAAATTTTTCATCATCTTCAGTTATAAACAATAGCATTTTTATAGTAAAAAAGGCTTAGAAAGTGTTTTCGAGAAAATATTGAATATCGTATGATTAGATATTCAGTCCTACATAGCTAATGACTTGAAAATAGTACTCTTCATTTGTAACAAATGAAGAGGAACTCTAGGGTAAATTCGAGTTAAATGAACTATAAACTATCAAAAGTTTTCTTTATCTTAAGTGGCTAAACATATATGTCTAAGAAATATTGTCAGGAAAGTGAATAAACTCACAATGGAATTCCTTGGTTTTTTTGTTCACATTGTTGCTTCACCATCATTCTATTTTCTGTAAAGCAGATCGAAAGTTCTTCTTTCGAGAATCAAGATTAAAGAAATAGAAAGGTTGATGTGTGTCTTCGAGAACACATTTTTTTGATAAGAGAAGCGAATTTTTTTTGAAACTACGTGTATTAACTTCATAGAGTGCAAAATATGAGTTGCAAAAAAGAGGGTGTGGGTGTGGGTTGGTTTCCGCTTCTTCAACACTCACACCCACATCCACACCCACCCACACCCACCCTCATCTTCCACATGTCAATAGCACAGCAGATTCAACTAATCATTTCAAAGTGAAACGCTTTTATTTTGCGCGGACATGAATTTCTAAGATCTAATTAAAATTTCGTGGATATCATAGAGAAAAGTGGCTGGGATTTCAGGGTGTCGGTGTGGGTGTAGATAATTAAAGTACCCACACCCTCGCCCATTCGGGCAAATTATAATACAGGAGATTAAATTTTACTTACGTCCGCGTGCACCAATTCTCTATTCCAACAATCATCATTGCTGAATCCAAAATTGATGAAATGAATCCCTTCATTCACTTCTATTAATAGGTTTTGTCTATGTTAAGCTAAATTTGAATGAACGTGTTGTCTATCGAGATATTGTTTGTTTCCATCGATAAGCATGAAGATATATCACGTTGTCAGATATTGAGATATATAATATTTGGGGATGTGGATATGAAGTTTTCTTCTATCCACACAAACACCGACACACATGGTCACATTGATATTTTCTGCTAATATGGAACAGCTTCTATAAACAATTATCATTTTATATAATTCACAAAATAATCGCTAGAGACATGTTGTAATCTGATAGAAGACTTTCTAAATGGCAAAAGCAAAAAACAAATTTCTGACTTCAGAAACCTTCACTTTTCAGAATTCGATGAAAATGAACGAATTTGTTTCTGTAATTCTTGAAAACATATATATAATATACGAACTTAGAAACTTAGACACGATTTTCCAACAGAAATGTAATAACTTTGCGATCTTTAGATTTCATCTTACATGAAAAGACATTAGCTTCATTTTATAGAAAGTCAAAGCTCGCGTACAACTATTCTTCAGTGCTCAGCATCGCAAAAATAATAACAGAAGAAATTCGAAAACACAATGCCGAAAAACTTCTCAGAGCATTGTCACACTCCATGCACACATTACTATTAACAATACAACAGCACCGATAGTTTTCAATAGTACATGATTTCACAGGAGAACTAAATTCGCAATCACAGTTGTATCTACTGTTACACTCCAAACACCGCTCATTGACATGACATTTAATACATATTACTGACGCAGAGGTAAACTTGAAAGCAAGCGTGATACACAACCAAGTTTGATGAGGTAAATCGTTGGTTGATGGCTCTTTATTGAGTATGGGATCGAACAAGTCTTTGGAAGAATAGTAAGCAGAAAAGGAAGAGATTTAAATTCTTCTGAAGAAAAATAAAATATTGCAGGATGCAGAACAAAGTCATCGCTTCAAAAGCTCCAACGTAAATGGTGTGAGTGTGGGTGTAGGATGTGAGTCTGCTCACTTCAGCCAAACAGTCACACTCGCGCCCACTTCCACAACCAACCACTTCCACCCACATCCCACACAAATCGTAATGATTAATTGAATCTGATGAAATCTGATAATTTGGAAATATTTACAAGAAATATCATGCTTCGTCGTTGTTTGTTGGCTAAAACATTTTCAAGTATTGATGAGTATTTTCTGAAAGTTGAATCTATTTTGATAAGAATTTCTTTGAGAAAATCTGGCTTTATTGATACTACTGCACATTTCATGTTTATTTGGCTAGTTCGAATTAATGCTGACGTGAAACTAAAAGATATGATTTTTAGTGTTCTTTCTTATTGTACATAGAGTAGTCAAAAAGTTCCCGTAACAGTACTCTAAAATTTCATCCTGATTGATTTTATTCCTGATGTTGGCCTATTCTAGTAGTGACTTCTGTTATGTGTTAAAATACCAATACGAAGTTTCACATCTATTATGACAAATTTTTAACCAATTTTTTCAACACCTTTGTGTTCAGATGGATAAGCTTTGTATTCGCTCATATATAAAAACTAGTTGATTATTAAGTTTAAATGCTACACAAATCCATGATGAATTAATTGCTGCTTATGGACAAGGTGTTGTTGTTTCATATAGTACAGTTGCTCATTGGTTTGATCGGTTTTCAAGTGGACGAGAGTCATTGGAAGATAATCTTCGTAATGGTCGCCCAATAATCATCATTACTAAACAAAATATTGATGCGATTCAGGACCTGGTGAATGATGATCCACATATTAGTATTGGGTATGTTACTATCATCTCAGACATAGTTATCATATAAACTATCGTGATGAATATTTGAAGATTTCAATCAAAAATTTACATAAGAGAAAAAACATCATCAAAAACAAGTAGCCTAAGTTTGCATTATAAAATTGCGAAATTACATATTCGAGATATTGTTCTCAATCTTTATTATCTTCAAGAAGAAAAAATGAAAGCTATGGCTCATCTAGCATACTCATCTGACTGTGCTCCTTCAGATTTTTGGTTGTTCAGTTGTCTGAAACGCAGCCTCGATACATATCCAGATGCTACAAGTTTAGCTAAAGCAATAACCAACGAGCTCAATTCAATATCTATTAAAAAATACTGAAAGACATCCCTAGAGAAAGTACTGAGTTCAGGGACCCATGTACTGAGAAAGCCTCAGCAGGGTACCCGATATGGGTACTTCGAAAATTTTCAGTAATTATACTGACGTAGGTACTGCATTGGGTACCCATTGCAGTATGTTTACTGGACAAGTACTTGCATGAGTACCCGCACCTGTAATTTTACTAGGAAAAGCTCTACAGGGTACCCTAGATTTGTTGCGTTCTGTGTAGCAACTGTTCATTCACCGTTTTCTTTTGCATATACAGCTTCATATAAGCAACTCGAGGATGCATAAGAAAAAAATATTTTTTCATACTAGTTTTTTGTAGAGTATTTTTCTTGACTATTTACTAGTCGAGGACATGCTGATCTCAATCGTAGATTGAGGAAGGACTACCTTGAAGTGGTCTGATGGAGATCCGACCAATTCGCGTCCGGTCAGATCTCGAAATTTAGCCTGCTTGACTTTTCAGAATTGGAAAAATTAAATTAAATAAAATCGAAAAAATATCATAAATTGCCTTGGGAGAAACAAAAATGAAAAAAAGTCAGAGGTTAGTTTCGATCATCAACATACTGCAAGTTTGGCAACAGGGTACCCAAAATTACTGAATAATAGTACCCAGTTGGGTACTTGATCAGTACCTTCAAGTACCCATTTACTGGATGCTTTTCAGCAGGGTACTTGGTCGAGTACCTTATACGTACCTTAAAGTACTTTAAGGTACTTCAGTACCCGAAAGTTCCTGTGACATACTAGTAGCAGGGTACTTTTTCGGGTACCCTTAGCTCAGTACATTCACTAGGGATTCCAGAAATGGATTGAAAGAATGAAACTTTGTACGGAACTAGAGATGTAAGCCGTGCGGCTGAGCCGCTGCCGCCGATCAACGGGAAAAATTTTAAGCCGCCGCCGCCGACATCGTTCATAAACACTGACAACTTTTTTAATCATTTTTTCCTTAATTTTGTATGGGTTAAAAGTTTCAAGTAATCATTTCACTTGTTAATATCTATTATATTATATATAAGTAGAGACCAGTATTATAAGTTT